AAGATTATTTTTAATTAATATTTTATATATTTTATGTATATATAATAATAAGTTAATTATAAATATTTAGTATTAGAATTGATAATTAAATCAAAGTATATATTTGTATAATATTAGTTAAAAACAATTTTACATTTAATAGTTTTAAATCTTTACTACTAAATATATAAATATATGAAATTGTATTAGGTATAATCGACAGCCATTTCTGTCGATTATAGCTAGTATGTTCGACAGCCACAATAGCTGTCAATTATACCTATATAATCGACACTTTATCATAATCGATAGAGTTTTTGTTGATGATATAAGTAAAATCGACAGTTTTTTGACTGTCGATTATATTTTTGTCGATTATATGCTGTTTTCTAGTAGTGCAGCACACCAAAGAAAAACATAACTTTGATAAACAAATTAAATTCACAAAAGCCATTGCCAGACTTACAAACTAATTAAACAAAAATATAAAGAGCATAGAGATTTAAGGACATACAGATTGGATTAAGCAAAAGCAGTGAGTGGAGATGATGTTGGGAGTTGTGGCACGAATTTAAGGGCCAAATAAAACAACCCGTTGCATTTCTTTTTGTGGCAACGAGACTTTCCATCCATGAAAGCTGCTGGTTTAATGAGTTAGTTGAGATAGGCATATCGTGTGTTAGTTCTGTTGAGTGCGAAAATCCCACATCCAATATAAGACAAAAAAAGCCTCTCACGTGCAGGCTGTGCAGACCCGCTATGAATGTTGAGTTTTGTCATATGACTTAACACGCCCCTTACATGTAGGCCTGGTATCAACTTCGAGCTCAACACAAGATTTGCATTCAACCTAAAACTAATTGGTAATAGGTGGAGTAGCTTTTCTTATATTTAACCCATAAGCTTTTTCGTTTTAAACTCAATATGGGATTTTCCCACTCAACAGGTTCTTCATTAATGGTAGAATTGAATATCTTTCTCAAAACTCTAACTTTCTCCTCATCTTTATAATTGGTTGAATGAGTCAAGGTCTACAAAATGAAAGGTTGTCAGCCATTGCATTTGCAGTGTTGAAGATCAATGAAACAGTGCAACTAGTTAGTGTTCATGGGCACTATTCATGTCCAGTTCAGTTTCAATTAAGGTGCTGAGAAGTTTCTTTGTTGATTTTTTAATGTAATCTTTATGTATTTTTGATGTTAAGTATTTACCTAAAAATATGGGCTACCTTTAATTGTATGTTGTACCATGCCCTTGCTTTATGGGATTTATATATTATTTAATTATAGGTGAACATTACAATGTGGTTGGTAGTGTTTTGTATAAAAACCATACTAGAACTAGATCAAAAACGAAGGGAAAATCAATGAGAAAAAAGTGAGCATCATCTCTAGCTCAATTTATGTTATTTCCTTCATCTTTCACATGTTTCTCAAGAATTTTTTCTTGAGTTTTATGTTGGTTTGAATCAATTTTAATTAACTGATCTTACATTTGGTATCAAAGCCCATTTCTTGAAGGATCTATGAGTGTAATGAGATAGTGTAAACATAAATTGTGTTGAGGGAGAGAAGTTTGTGATTTAGCAAATACAATAATATCCTAAAACAATTTTGGTTCACTTTCAGATTCACCTCTATTCCCAAGGGCAAGGAACAATTGTTGTCCAAGCTCCTTTAGGTACAAAATTGATTTCAGATGTTCTTTGTGTTCCCTCCATGAGTTAAAATTTATTGTCAATAGCCCAAATGATGAAAAAAGGATGTAGTGTGCAATTCAAACATGATACCTGCACTATATATGACTCTCATGATTCTTAAGACATTAGAGTCCAGATGAATGACACTAGCTTTTCTGTGAATTGGAATTTAATTCAATCTTGCTCATATATTGTTAAATGTGATGATACATGGTTATGGCACAAGAGATATGGCCATTTCAATTTGAATTCTTACAAACAAATGAGATAGTTAGAGATTTGTCCAACATCATGTGAAGCTTATCAACTTGGAAAGCTACATAAACAAGCTTTTCCAGTTAATCAAGCATGGAGAGCCATTGAAAAGCTTGAACTTGTTCATAGTGACATCTATGGACCAATGAAGATAGAGTCACTTAGCAACAACAACTATTTCTTTCTGTTTATTGATGAGATTACGAGGATGACTTGGGTATATTTTCTAAGCAGCAAAAATTAGGGTTTCTCAGTGTTCAAGAAGTTCAAAGCCTTAGTTGAATACCAGAGTGGTTGCAAAATCGAGACCTTGAGGTCTAATATTGGCAAGGAGTATACCCTTCTTGAATTTAACAAA